ATGTTACAGTGGATGGACAAAGAGGAACCTCCTTACAGACCTGAAGTCGTATATTATTAATCTGCTGGAAGTAGAATACACTCACCGTTACTTCAAAAGATCGAGAAAGGAACTCACAACAAACTCTTAGAACTAAAATGTATATGTAGTTACTTCTAAGCTGCATTTATGTCATACTTTGTATTTTGATAAAAACCAAAGGGATACACTTACAGAAAGTGACCCTTTCCATAGCACCTTACTATAGTCGTATTTTAGATGAAGTGTTGCAAAATGTTGGTTGCCCTTCAAAAACTAAACATTTATAAAGTGTCATTGTAATTTTCATATTTATGTATCTTAATATAACTGCTATCATTTGCTGATTCCCACCGATTATAAACTACTGCTCCATTATTCTTTTTTTTTCAGGATTATCATTTTTACGACGGACACAAAGAAACATTACATTATAAATACAGCATGTTGAGAAATGTAAATCAATGTTTTCTATCTGAATATATAGATATCAATGTGCTTGGTGAATTTCTAGAATCAACTGACTAAGGACAGTACTTATTCCAAGGAGACGAAATCGTTGCTGACTTTGTACCATACAGTGCTGTCAAATCCAATGCCACGATCATTTTTTTCTAAACGAACTTATGTTGTTGTGTCTGATGTTACATGTCCACGAAAAACTTTACATTCAGTAGATAATTTCTTCCAAGCACCAGTAGGAATGAAGTTTAGTCTCAATATATATAGATGCTTGTCTGAAAAAATCAAAAATCACCTCATTTTATACTTTGCTAAATTTCTTTGTGAACCAATCAGTGAATATATATTATTTAGTGGAATGTCAAGCACAGGAACTAGATAGACATTTTTGGACAGCGCAGTCGGAGAATTAGGATTCAAAAGAACATAATTTTATACACCTGGTGCATTGTTTGTCAAACGGAAAGTTACAAGCTATAACTGTATCAAAAAATTGTGTCACAGACAGCTATTTATTCAAAGATAACACAGATTTACAATTCACTATTTCAGCAGAACAACGACGCAAATACTTGTGTGTGTTTGGTGTTATTTGAATAATATAAAATGTCTAGATAATAGGACGATCTTTCTTACGAGGATGTCTGATCGTTATAATGAAAAACGAATAGTTGAACCTGTAAACAAATAAATGCATACGGAGTATATATCTTCCAATTGATACGATATTCCAGGGCTTGTATTTCTTATCATGATTTCCTTGATACAGGGTTTCTATTCACAAGAAAGCTATCAAACGAAGAGTTCCAAGAGGTGAAGTTGAAACGATCTCTTCGTAAATTTTACGGACGCCATCACGAGTTGGTTAACCGTTATGGAATATCAATACAATCCTGTCCCCTTTTCCCCGAATGTGACCTACCGAATTAGATTTATTACCGTGTTTGTACTAACATGAGCAACACGAAAGTGCAACATGTGGAGCAGGATCTACTTACCCTTCCGGAGCACCTTAGATCACCCCCAGTTTTCATGTATATATCATAATATACAATACAATTGACGTATCTAGGGAACGACCATTTTATATGTGGGGATGAAGGAGGAGCAGGGGGATTTTTACAGATTGATCGTTTATTTTAACTTTGGTACACATTTGTTTCCTGCATTTTGTGTTGCAGAATGTTTATTTCTATACTGCCTTGAGCAAAGTTACTTATGTTTAGTTCTTACCAGGGCAAGTTATCCATTTTCAAAAACCTTGAAGTCCCCTTCCCAGAAAATCAAATGGTAACTGAACACAGTGGGACTCGCTCCTGCTACTTTAAAGTACCAATGTACATAAAAATAAAACAAGGGAATATGGTATGATTATCAGACAATTATCCCCTGTCTATACAGGGTTTGTTGTTTCTTGGTTAGTATCTTTTAATTCAGAGCGTTGATATGGATACACAAAAAAGGATTGTTTGATTTATTGATATTTGGTGTTTAACACGCCACTTTCGGCACTATAGGCTATTTCGTGGCGGATAGTTTTATATTGTAGAGGAAGCTGGCATTAAAAGTGGCAACCCTAATCAATTTAGATTGGAGTCGAAGGCGCCTGCCACTTCTGAGGTTCGAACTTAAATATGAAAACAATACGTTATAAATTTCATGGGTGCGAAGCATTTTCTGGATTTACCTTCATCAGGAACGCTCCAAGCCGAAAAAAATTAAAATAAAAAACCTCGTTGATGATAGGCTAGTGATACAGTAGACGAACGTCTTATAACACTCGACCCCCATGCTTAGGAATTATGTTTGTCAGCATAAACTATTGAAAATCAAATAAATAAACTATTTTCATTAAGTAGTTCAATCTTAAATGAATAATTACCCTTATTGTTTAGAAAATGGTTACATATATGAGTCAATTTTAATTTAATTCCCAAATTTGTTCTAATAAATGAGAATGAAAACACCTGACTAAATAGCTTTCTTCTCAGCAGCATCCCATTTTTAAGGAAATTTCATAAGAAAAAAGCCCTGGAATATAGCGCAGGTGCTGCTGATATATTGCTACATTAAATTGGAAATCTCACACATGAAAATTTGAAGACATCTCGATTTCAAATTGTATTTTCAACAGGGTTGGCAAAAACCCGGGCTTTATGAGTACTGCCCAGCCCAGTGGGAAATACTGGGAAAACCCGGGTTTTACTGGATTTTAATGGGTAATACTTGGCAATACTGGGTAATATGAAATACTGACTGGAATCTTAGAGGATTCAGTGATAAATCACTAAAGCAATACATTAAAGAAATAAATTAGACATAGTTTTTTAATTTATAAGTTCACTTAAGATTGTTTGAGATTCTTAGTATACAGTGTGTAAATCTGAGAAAGTATCAATCCAGCAATTCAACTCTAAAACACACATGAAGACACATAGGGCTTTCTCAATGAGATTTATAGATGATATTCCTAAATATCTATTAACTTGCCATTTTGTCTCAATTGGTCTAACTGTGAACACGAAGCCAAAGAATTTGGTATGTGTTTTTTTTTAATATATATAACTAAAATCAAGAAAAAACAACTAATTATGTGTAAGGAAATTGACTTTTTTTTAACAATTTTTTATCAATAATTGAGTCATTGCTAAAAAGAGGTTTACTAAATTTTAGCACACTAATATGTACATCACTATGATTAATAAGTACAGTGTAATTATTCAGATTATAACACAGATTTGTTTATATAACAATAATCAGCCTTTTCATTTATAAAAGTGTTCTTGAAATGTCCCCTTAGGGTTTTTATTTAGCAATTGTACATGTATGATTGCATAACAATTTAGATTTACAATGCTCTAAAACACTGCACTTAAAAAAATTGGATTATTGAAACAAATCTTAGAAATAAGCAAGATATCCAAAAATGTGCAAAACATTTACCGCATTCTGCCTACATAGAATTTCTGATGTTATTTCTTCATAAACATTCCTTAATTATAACTTTAATTACTCAAAAAGCTATGTACAATCGGTGATATACTGGATTCTATTTGGACAATATCCGTTAAATAAAAATGTACAGAAGTCAATATATAGTGGTCTATAGAATATTTGTAAGATGCATGTTCTTGCAGGGTCTTTTGTCGTTGACCTTAATTGCATCGTTCATTGACCAAATTCAATTTTGCGGGACAAGTGTAAAAATAAGTAGATGTGGTATGATTGCAAATGGAAAAATTATACACCAGAGTTCAAAACAAGTGGACTAGGTAGGTCTTTAGTTACTGGAATGTATGGAACTGTAAATTAATTCTCAGTTATATATTGATTATTTTTAAGTAGTAAAAATTGCATGAAATGCAATTAAAACCATATGGCTATTAGGAATCACTACCACAAAACTTCACTTGTCAGCAAAACGTAGAATATAATGAAAATAAGAAGAATTTAACCTTACCTGACTTCAAATATTGTTTTCCACAGCTTCATGGGTACTTTTGATTATAACTAGTACTACAGATAATCGCTGCTCTCCGTCTACAAATGAAATAATACCATGTAAATTTCGTTTGTTCGAAGCGCATTTCTCACACGTAAACATTTGAAAGCCAGGGATGCGGAAAACAAGATATAATGATTGCTTTTCTGGCAACAATTGTTACGTTTTCTGCTTAAGTTAGTCTGATAGGAACAACTTGTGATAGATCAATGATATTTTATATAAAGTTGGCTTACTATCAGTACATATTAGTTTGACGACTAATGTAAGGCCTTGTCCCTTAGGGCATGGTCGAGTGACTATTAATTAATTAGCAATTTTCAATGTTTAGTTTTCTGCTTAATTTAGTTTGATAGGATCTACTTGTGATAGATCAATAATATTTTGTATAAAGTTGCATTACTATCAGTTCGTATCAGTTTGGTGACTAACTTTGAGGCCTTGTCCTGCATATCAGTTTGACGACTATTTTTAGGCCCTGCCCCTTAGGGCATGGTCCAGTGACTTTGAATTAATTAGCAATTTTCAATGATGAAGTTGTCTGCTTAAGTCAGTTTGATAAGAACTACTTGCGACAGATCAATATTATTTTGTTTAAAGTTGCATTACTATCAGTACATATCAGTTTATCGACTATTTTGAGGCTCTGCCCCCTAGGGCATGGTCCAGTGAATTTGAATTAATTAGCAATTTTCAATGTTAAGTTTTCTGCATAAGTCAGTTTGATACGAATTACTTACAATAGACATCGATATTTTCTACAAAGTTACACTACTGTCTGTACATCTCAGTTTGTCGACGATTTTGAGGTCCTGCCAACTAGATCATGGTCCAGTGACTGAACTAATCAGCAATGTTGCTGTCCATCAGATTGAGGTTTTTTTTCTGAATTTTATACCGATAGGCGAAACATATCTTTGTGTCAACAGTTTATTTAATAACTTCTCGCTTGATGAACTGGGAATGTTAAATAATTATATGCTATAAATGATTTAAAAATATCTATTCTTTTCAACAGGATTTTCTAGTTTACGACACGCATAAAAGAACCCTAGAGATAAAGAACAATGTCATAGAGAATGAAAATCAATCTTTAAAAGCTGAATATATTGATGTCAATCTGCTTGGTCAAGTGTTAGCATCGACTGACCATAAGCAGTACTTATTCCCTGATGATGAAAAAGTTGCTGACTACGTACCATACAGGGCTATCAAATCTAATGCTCATCTGATCGTTTCAAAACGAACTGCGGTTGTGGTGTCTGATTTAGGTTGTCCACAAAGAACTTTACTTTCAATAAGTAATTGCTTTCAAGCACCAATTGGAATGGTTCTTATTTTCAACGTTTATGGCTGTTTGTCTGAGAATATCAAAGAGCACCTCATTTTACACTTTGCTACGTTTCTTTGTCGGTCAATGAGTGAATATATAGTACTTAGTGGTATATCAAGCAAAGGAACTAGTTGGACGTTTTTGGACTGCGCCGTCGAAGAATTTGGATTTAAAAGAACGAGATCTTATGGAACAAGTGTAGTAAGTGTCAGAAGAAGAATAAAACACAAACTGTAATAAAAAAAGGTAATCGGATACAGCTTTTTGTGTAGTTTCTATTTATATAAGTTTTTCATGGGCAGCAGTATCAAATCATCATATATGGCTACCTTCGTACGTTTCCTGTAGTAACGAGCACATTACTTGATTCTGCCTTCCAATCAATTTGACAGAGGGGAATTGTTCTATACATGAATTTAGATATATATTTATTATGTGTGTAATCAGTTTCATATGTTTATACGGAATTGTACAAGTGTTGTCTGAAAACGCCTTTTTAGTTTACTCTCTCTTTGATGATAAATGTCGTTCAGCTAAGACGTGTTTTATGAGCTAGTGTCCGAGGCCAATATCGTCACATGGTGGAAAGACCCTTAAAAGCTTTTAAGAAGAAATGTACAAAATTTTGAGAAATATCTGTGCAGATTTCAAGACACAATTAATTTTATTTCTGAAAATGTGACCCCGTACACGAGTACTGGACACGTGGTTGTTAATCATCAATGTGACCAGGACAAATTTGATGAATTATGAGATCATTTTGACCAGTGACTAAAACGAACAAATATTCATTTTTTAACACAATTTATCCACACATACATAGACATTTATTTTTACACATATATCCAGAAACGCCCAGTGTTTGACTCTTCGCCTTTTCTGTTTTGCCATGGTATTGTAGTTTTTTCCTCGATGTATGATTTTATCTCTCCAGTACGTGGTTGTTCAAACTTCCATAATTAATATTGGTCAACTAACTCTGCACAACATTCTTTTTTAATTTCTAATTTGTTTTTGTCCTGAATATGCAAGAAATATTTGCACTGAACGTTAAGCAAACACAAATTAATCAATTAACATGGTCTCAAAACAAAACATAGGAAGCAATCCATGTTTAAAAAAATCGTCCTGAACATCAATGAAATATTTATCACTGGACGTTTAACAAAACCAATATTCAACCATTAAATAATCATGTTCTAACATGAACTTGAAAATACAATTATTATGGCTAGACTGGTTCCCTGTCCTTTATGGGGTGTCTGAGATACCCGTATGTTGCAAGGGAGAGGGTCAGCTTATTATTATGGCCTGCTTAAACTAGTTTTATTTTAGATCTCAACCCTCTCCGTTTTACTAGTTGAACAAAAAAAAATTAAATAAAAACCGCATAAAGATTGTTAAATAAATATTAGAATTTCAAGAACCGACAATAGCATGGCTCCTTCTTTCGAGTATTTATCAAACAATTAAATAAGAACTTAATTGAATGTCACTACAAACCAAAACCAAAAATATTCTCGAAAGTGAAATCTTTCCTTTTGTTATAATCATATTTGAGGATATTTGCGAAAGTTAGAATATACTATTTGAGTTTTTTAATGTTTGAATTTCTCCAAATTTTTGTTAAAGACCATATAAATGAAACAGACACACACTATAATTACCATACTTAGTTACCACAAACAAACAAATACAAAAACTATTTTTGATCTTTCCCATTAAATATCAGGTGATATACTTTACGGTCATATTTCTTCACAACACAATCCAGGTAACGATCGATAATCTATAAGAAATTCTACCCAGCGGACTTCAGACTCAAAGTAAGTAATTATTAAAAATGTACTTCTCCGGAAAATTGTGGTTGCATTTGCTGATTTAATGTGTAACAATTATGAATTCTAATTTCACTGCCAGTTAAAAGACAGTCGAAAGGGTACGATCACTCATTCAAAATCTTGTATTTATATGTATACATGTACTTATCATACAATATAGTCAGATACGTAAACAAAGTAACACGTGTAAGTAGTATCATGAGATGTAATGGTGCAGTCAATGAAACAGCAGCACAGCGACGAAATGATTGTGTGTGTTTGGTGTTATTTGTATAATATAAAATGTCTAGATAATAAGACGATCTTTCTTACGAAGACGTCTGATCGGTATAATGAAAAACGATACTGTGCATAATGAATAAATTAAATATACGCCTTATATATATATGTATATATTATAGTATACAATACAATTGACGCATCTAGGGAACGATCATTTGATATTGGGGGATGGAAAAGGGGGGAGGCAGGAGGATTGGTCGTTTATTCTAACTTTTGTACACATTAGTTTCCTGAATTTTGTGTTGCAGAATATTCAATTCCATCCTATCTAATGTGCAAAGTGACTCATTTTTAGTTCTTAACAGGGCAAGTTATCCATTTTTTAAATTCCTCCTGCCCCGTTCCCAGAAAATCAAATGGTCACTGAACACAATGGAACTCGTTGCTACTATTTTAAAATACCAATGACAATGTACATTTATCCCCAATCTATCACGGATTTTTGTTTCTTGGTTAGAATCTATAGATTTAGAGCATTGTTATGGATACACAAAAAAAGGATTGTTTGGAATGAAAAATTAAAGGATAATGCTATCTGCTTTTCATTCTTGTTTATACTTCTCTGTGTGAAGCCACAGGAACAAAGAATCAAGTAAGCTATTCATGATGTATTCAATTGTCTAAGATCACAATGATTGGAGTCTTACTTTATCTTGACAGATATAAAAGACGAACTTGATAACTTTAACTGTATAAGTTAACACAATGGACAGTAACCTGATAAGATGTAAAAGGGTGACAAAAGAAGACTATGAGAAAGTGATGGCTATATTTCCCCCATCTGAGATATATAACGGCGGTGATTCTCTTCCTGATTATTTCCATATGTTAATTGATTTACCAAACAACGAGATGTATGCTGCTGTCATCGGAGATAAATTTGTATGATCATATTTAATTTTGAGAACCAAAATATTTAGATATTAAGACCAGTCTTCTAAAAAAGATAAAAGTCATGAACCCAGTATATGCGTTCCACGTGATGTTTTATTGTTTGTCATTACTTTTATCCGTTTGATCTTTTAACTTCGTCAAAACTTATGTTCATTCTTCTATTTATTCAATCATAAACAATGCATGATTTAGAAAAGAGGCGGAAGATATTAAAGGGAGAATCCAAAAAATCGAAGAGCAACAGAAAAAAATCATGGCAAAAAACGAAAAACGACATAAAGACAAACACTACATCAAAAACTAAAGACTGAGCAACACGAATCCCACAAAAAAACCGGGGTTATCTAAGGTACTCCGGAAGGGTAAGCAAATCTTGCGCCATACTTATTTAAGAAAGGAATTTTACATTTTTCTGTAAGCTCCAACTGGTTTATGACGTCATGACAAATTTGTGTAATTTATAACTTATCCGGATTTGAATACATGTCGATAAGGTCTATTTTATGACAATTGAATGTTTGTAAACACTTCAAACAATTAAAAATGCATTTTTAAAACCTTTATATGTCTTTAAAAAATTAGTGTATAAACTATCATAATTTACAAATATTCTCTCTTCTCTTATCTCATTACTGATGACCTTTGGTTTGGTTATCAGTGCCTAACAATAATTATTTTCTTGTCCTGATAAATCCCAATATTTCAGATTATAAATTTTGGTAATTTATTCAAACCAGATATGTTCAACGAATCTAAATAGGAATTACATGTCGTATGTCACTTGTGGAACAGAAACTGCTGAATCTTCGTCTATGGACGAGACCATTACAGTTTTTATGGGGGCCGTGTGGCTTATCTTTCGTTCTCTGTTTAATGGTTGACTTTTGTTTGTCTTTTTCTTAAACTGATAGTTTTTGATTGGGCTTCTTAAGTATTTTTATCAATTGGTTGTTTTTTTATATAAATATGAAAAAAGGTCAATTTAGGAGCCTGAAATTATAAGGTACAACATATTTTGTGTTGATATTAAAAAGATATTTCATACTTTAGGTAGGATTTACTTTAATGACAACTGTAGATGATGGGAGAAGTATAGTTACTAGGGCAGTTAGAGTCTCCAAAGAATACGCTGGTAAAGGAATTGCTGGAATAATGTTGAAATGGATGGATATAGGACAACCTCTTTACCGACCGGAAGTAATATGGCATAAAATTACAGGAAATAGAACACATTCACCACTACTTCAACTGATTAACAAAGGAACATACAACAAAATATCACAACAAGTATGTTTATCAAGTTAGACCAAAAAGAAATATATATATGCTTGTTTCCCGCCTCTAAGCTGACAAAATGGGGTAGGCAGGGAAATAATTTTATTTCTTGTTCTTATTTTTTTTTTAGCTGAAATACAGATAAATTTCAGACTGTGACAGATAATACTCAAAACGAAATAAGCATTTCGGCACAATTTAGGAGAGAAGAAAGATATAATCCATCATTTTTATTAGGTAATTGTCTGATTGACATTTAGCCTACTAGAATTTCACAGAAAGTCTCGGTACCGACTGTTTACACCTACTCTGACATGAGAGGGGGTCGTCTCAAAATAAAACAAAGTACTAAACTTTTAGCATTGAAAGGTAAATAATTGTTAGAATGAAACAATAAACTGTCATATAAAATTTAACAAATCTTACCCCACCCTCTTGTTAAAATTGAGAATGGAAACAGCTCACTTGGACCAAAGTTAGATGTGAACTATTGCCATGACCACTTGGCAACCTTCGTTGACCGGTTGTTTTGCAGGCTTAAATAGTATTTGAACAAAACTTGGTATAAAAAATGTCGAATTTCCGGACACCTATGCTAAATCTTTATGGTTAATGAGAAACTGTAAGTGTTTAAATGAAAGTATGTAGCATTTATGATTTTTTTAAATCAATAACAAACACCATTAAGATATATTTTAATTAGATTTAAATATATTTAAGTCGGATGTTTGCGTAATTTATGTGCGTACAGTGTCAGAATAACAAATTTAGATTGTTCCCCAATGTTTTCTGATTGCCTTGAATTATGCAAAATGAACTATTTTAGAACAACTAACGAAAAATGACAGTTTCTATTATTCTATGTAACATTTTTTAAAATAACTAATTTCAATTGGCGTAAATGAAATGCATGACTATCCTGTTTCTGATACTACATCAACCGATAAATTATTTCTCCTTTTAAAATAAGCAACTACTCAGTGATAAAAAGCACAAAGCATTCTAAAACTTTTACACGGCACGTTTCTCACATATCAGTGTAGTGAAAAGAACTTAATTGAAAAAAACTAAGTGCGTACCCTTCTGTCATGCCTATGCTGTTACCAATAACTCTATAAATGACAACAATATTATACTTGTAAAATATGATTACGTGTTGGAAACCAAAACCACAGAAGAAAAACATTATCACTGCAAAAAAGGGAGAAGTTATTTCACAACAGCATTCATAAATATAGAAAGTTGTCTATCATAGTGTTACTACATATCCTGTTACTATAGTTTAAGTAACAGGATAGACAACATAAAGAGAATGGTTTCAAAAAAAAATTTTATTCAATTTTGCTTATTTCGACATTTTTTTAAATGACCCTTATAACCATGCTCTTTCGATGGTTTACTACAAAAACTATGTCTTACAGCCCTATCCAATTTTCAAAATTGCCACCCCAGCCTTTGAGCAGTTGACTTCTCGTCGAAATCTACTATGTTTGAAATTAGACGGAAGAAATGTTTCTGGAATGATCCTCCGCCAAATCTGCGACTGATTATTACGATAAATTTAATACTGTGGCCACCATGTCCTGTGATTGGTTGACATACTTTCGCCAAAGACTTGTTGGCCCATTCGAACCAAACTTAATGAAAATTTTCTTGGGTTGCCAGAATGGCCGCAACAGACTCTAATTGGTTGGCACAAGAATTTGTTATCAGCACTGATTATCTGTTCTCGCTCCTCCCACCCCTGGTTAACTAAACCTCCCTTTATTTTCGTACCTGTGGAACAGAAAAATATTTCTATCAGAAAACCGGATTATTTTTTATGTGTACACTACATCATTATGTAGATAAACAAATCATTCATACGTACGTATCTAGCTTCAAATATTATGTGTATTATGTTTATGAACTTGACAATACATCCAATTGAAATGTGTAACTTTTGGTTTAATAGCTTCCTTGTGAGCAGCAACCCTCTATCAAGGAAATGATGATAGGAAACACATCCTAAGGGAACTGTGAATTCAAAGTTTGCTGCTTTTTGACGGTGGAGCGATTATACGCTCCGTTCAATGACTGGTTTAATTTGCTCAAAAACATCTTATGAATCAAGTGCACCGTACAATTCATATTTGAGACGACCCCTTGCATTTTGCTTGACAGATTCGGACAACTTTTCCGCAAATTTCTGCAAATGCACTAAATATTAGGTCGGAGGGTCTGAGACAGGAAACAAGCATATATTTCTTTTGGCCCTTATTTCTAATCTTGATACAGTACTGGTATTAAACATGCAAAAGAGTTTTGCTTTCAAAAGTCAAATACTTTACAGGGAATGAAGACTTGTCCATAGCACCAGGATATAGGTGTGTGCTGGTTCTTCTGATCGATTCCAGTTATTCCTTTTTTATCTTCCATTCGCCGAATATGTCTTGATGGTGCTGTGAGATTTAGTAAAAATGTTGTTGGTCTTTTCTTCCGTTTTATTTTGTTTATAGTGTTGTCTTTGTCGACTTAATCTAATTTTGGATGATACACGTAATCTCATTGGCTGAAAGTTTTTTGTCTATCGGTAGCTCATATATATATAGACATGATTTTGCCATGTGACCGTGACTTCATCAACGTTTTTTATGATTCACTCCTTAAAAATGGAATTTATAATGAAATTATCAGGAATGACTATAATATTTTTTCTGTGTATTAAAAAAAAACTCAAAAAATGTGGTGCACATTTTTAAATAACCAGTGTTCAGTGTGCCCCACATTTCTGATGTTATTTCTTCATAAACATTCCTTAATTATAATTTAATTACTCAAAAAGCTATGTACACTCAGTGATATACTGGATACTATTTGGACAATATCCGTTAAACAAAAATGTACAGAAGTCAATATATAGTGGTCTATAGATTATTTGTAAGATGCATGTTCTAGCAGGGTCTTTTGTTGTTGACCTTAATTGCATCGTTCATTGACCAAATTCAATTTTGCGGGACAAGTGTAAAAATAAGTAGATGTGGTATGATTGCAAATGGGAAAACTATACACCAGAGTTCAAAACAAGTAGACTAGGTAGGTCTTTAGTTACTGGAATGTATGGAACTGTAAACGGTCTATATATTGATTATGTTTTAGTAAAAATTGCATGAAATGCAATTAAAACCCTATGACTATTAGGAATCACTACCACAAAACTTCACTTGTCAGCAAAACGTAGAATATAATGAAAATAAGAAGAATTTAACCTTACCTGACTTTAAATATGGTTTTCCACAGCTTCATGGGTACTTTTGATTATAACTAGTACTACAGATAATCGCTGCTCTCCGTCTACAAATAAAAAAATAACATATAAGTTTCGTTTGTTCGAAGCGCATTTCTGGATTTGGTTTCATTAGGCACACTCACACGTAAACATTTGAAAGCCAGGGATGCGGAAAAGAAGATATAATGATTGCTTTTCTGGAAAACAATTGTTAAATTTAAGGTAGGTTAAGGAACTTTGAAACGTAAATAGTGGCAAAATTATGATACATCAAGAATAAAAATTGTTTAAACCAAAATTCAGGAATCTAAGTTGTTGAAATTATATATTCGTGTAGTAAGGATTCAGTAAACCGAATTTTTGGTCATGATCGCCTAGGTCACGTGCCTTCTACAGGGGTAAAATGCCTTAACCAAATTGGCAAAAAACGGGTTACTACACTGAATAAAAATTATGACAACAAACTTTTTTTTAAACGAATCCTTGTGCTTTCCCGTTAATTAAAAGTGCTGCGCGATTTTCCAGAAGTGAACATATTAAATAAAAATAATATCTTTAGTTTACCCGGCAGCATATAACGTTAAATTTGTACATAGTTTCGTTCCTATTTTGAATACAGTTTCATATTCAATAAGCGCGCAGCACTTTTCTATTAGGTTATATCTATAGCTTTCTATTTCAGTTTATTTTTTTGAGAAATATTGTCTCTGGTAACCCGCTTTTTGTGAATTTAGAATTGGTAACTATGGTTTCGATAAAATAAAGCGCACTAAGGACTCGTACAGTCATCAAAGAACCGCAACTCTGTTGTCACAGTTGACGATGCGGGAATATTGACATTATTAAACCTCAACATAAATTGGTCTTATTGACAATATATGTCGAAATCGTTTGACCTTTGCAGTAACCGACGATAGTTAAACAAGTTGTCTGTGTTTGATGCCCCTCTTTAGGCTTCAATTGTATGTAGAATGTTGAATTTTCTTCAAAAAAGGACTGACAAAATATGTGCAGTTCCACCTTCAACATAAATATAAATTGTTTTACCAATCTCTATGCAAATTTGGTCGCTTCAACTTTGAAGAGTAGTCTCCTGGTGTATAGTTTGGTAATATGAGTTCTGTTATGTGTTGTCCTTGGTTCTTTTTATCAACCATTTACATTCCTCCAGCCCCAGGTGGTTTATGTACACCTTATCGCTATTCCCGCTTGACCCGAGAATCTGTCCCGCTCGAAATTTTGACGTCATACAATAATCACTTTTCCATTGTGGCGTCAGACATTTTCTATTATGACGTCAAAATTTTACGGGAACTTGTGTGATGTCCAGTAATGGCGGACAAATAGCGATAAGGTGTATTCATATAAGACTATTTATTTTGTGTATAGCAAGATCTTGCTATATAAATCACTGATCTCTTACTATATAAATGAAATCCTTGATCTCTAACTATATACATCCTTTATTAAATATGGGTTTTCAAATTTATGCTAATGGTATGCATTAAAAATTATATAACAGAAGAATAAAAGAAAAGAAGCAGTTCTGACATATTCAGTTGCAGAATATGTTTGGAAATGAGTATGACAAGTTCAATCAGACAAGTGCTACACAGACAAATTTTTTTCTGGGGGTTGCTGTGTGAAAAATTATTTTCACTTTTTTTCTTTAATTTTGTGTTTTTCCAGTTCTTACCATTTTCAAAATTGATGTCCCAGTCAGTACTCGCATACATTTTATCTA